CAGACATGCACAACTGCACCACTTTTCTGATGCTAGTGAAAGCGGCTACGGCACTGTTTCATATCTAAGACTGGAGAATGATAACAAAGAAGTGCATGTTTCATTCATAACAGGAAAATCCAGAGTGTCACCATTGAAACAAGTTACAATTCCCAGAATGGAACTTACAGCAGCAGTCCTGGCTGTCAAAATCGACACAATGCTGAAGAACGAATTACAGCTGCAACTGGACCAATCTGTCTTCTGGACTGATAGCACTACCGTGCTAAAATACATAAAAAACGAAAACAAACGCTTTCAAACATTTGTAGCAAACAGGATCTCTCTTATAAGGGATGCCACAGATGTATCACAATGGAGGTATATTGGAACAAAGGAAAATCCTGCAGATGAAGCCTCTAGAGGACAAAGGCAGACCAATTCTTAAACTGTAGGAGATGGATCAAGGGACCTGAGTTTCTCTCCAAGCCAGACAGAGAATGGACAAACTCTCATGTGGATTCAGATATCCCTGGCAATGATCCAGAAATCAAGCAGGAAGCCATCACGGCGGTGTTTGGGAACGATTGATCCGTATGGTTCGAAATGTGCTGTGTTCTGTTCTAAAGCAACAAGTTCTGGACGACGAAGGATTGTAAACCTTTCTTTGTGAAGTCGAAGCGATTCTGAATGATCGACCAATTACAAAATCTTCTGACGATCCGATGGACCTAGAGGCCCTCACGCCTAACCATCTTCTTCTGATGAAAACCAAGCCAAAACTACCACCTGGACTCTTTGTAAAGGAAGACTTGTACATCAAACGCAGATGGAGACAAGTGCAATATATGGCAGATCTCTTTTGGAAAAGGTGGACACAGGAATACCTGCCTCTAATCCAAAATAGACAACGGTGGTTATAGGAAAAAAGAAGCTTCGCTCCAGGTGACATTGTTGTAGTGGCTGATTCCACTGCTCCACGTGGCTCCTGGTTAATGGGCAGAATACTGGAGACAAAACCAGACGCACAAGGTATTGTGCGCACAGTTCGACTTCAAACCAAGAGCAACATCTTAGTGAGACCAATAACAAAGATATGTCTGCTCCAGGAAGCTGAGACATAAAGAACAGCAAAGACCGATGACCCTTAAAATAAGGGAGAAGAAGAGAAGAAAATAAACTACAAATTCTTTAAGAATTACATGCTAACACATACACACCTTTTGTATAGCTCCTTTATTATTTATTGGTAATTGTCTTTTTTCCCATACTAAAGCCAATTAGGGGCCGGTGTGTAGGAGCCATTTTGTGGGTGATGTTGGTGTGTCAGTTTATTTAAGTTATATGTATAGTGCAATATTATTTATGAACACTGGGTGGCAGGGTTTAGCTGCACCGGGTGTATATAAGGAGGTCATAGGTGACAGGAGATGGGGGGACACAGTAGGAGAAGAGCATACCGATTCCACCAGCCTGGCAGATGCTCATAGAATCACTAGAACGCTAAATTAACCCTGGTATGTAAAGACGAATAAACATCATCATAAACCACAACTAAGGACCGGAAAATCATCTGTTTGTGTCTGCGTCTGGATCACTTTTCAACCCTTCTGTGAAAGTAACGGCAAAAATATATAGGACATAGGAAAAGGAAATTGCCATTACACAAAGTAAAGAATGAAGTGTCGGCTATGTTTAAATGTTCGGAATTTGACCGTGATGGCCCTCTTGAGTTGCCGTAAAATATGACGAATATGACGGATGACGGATGCGACGGAAATACACCCGAACATATCTGGTAGCCCGAACATATCTGGTACTGACACCGCCCGCTGTGAGGTCTATGCAAGTGGTGCAGTGACGCGTCCTAAAACCCGGAAGTAAGCTGCGCTCGGATTCCCTCGACAGAAAGCAATGGGATTTCTCCATAGGATTTTGGAAAATAGCTGGAAATAAGGTCTGTGGAAAACGAACCTGTTTGATAAATGCACGTTTTGTTCAGCCGGATAATATCCACATGTCTACCCTACTTTTATTATTTTCGAATCATAAATCTAAACGATAGATTTATGATCGATAGATTTATGATTAGCATAAGTTCATGATGGCTCACTTCAGTGATAGTGATGACATCGTTGCGAAATTATTAACCGAGTCATTTTCAAGATTGAGTTACAATGATAAACTGGAGTGGCAAAGGATCAGCTGAAGCAAGTGCTTCATCCAAAAGGACAGGAGGATGGACTTTGAGTTTGAGTGATTTGATCACCAAAGGTAGGCCTAAGTCATTTTCAATGCAGGCCGCCGTGCCGACTTAATTCATTTGTAATTGTTACTTGGCTGTGGGTGCCCTGTCATGATAGGTGTTTATATAAATGGTGTTGTTTTGTGTGGAAGAGGGTCGCTGCCATTGATGCGTTTTGCACCCCGGGCCGCTGTTTTGATATTCCGCTGAAGTATACGCTGTGACGTAATATCTCTTCTTTTTTTTCGAGGGAAGGGGGGGGGGGGGGGGTCAGAAGGCCTAGGTATAATAGTCACGGCTCGCCACTGCTGTTGTGTGACGGCAAATACTGCGGCTGCAAGGCATTGTGGGGCAGCATTTTCTCCTCTCCTTTCGGTAAGGGAGGTCCAGTAGTTCCTAAGCTAAAGGAGGTTATAAAGGAAGTTTGAAACTTCCTTTCCTTTCATTTAGAGCAGTGTTTCTCGAACTTTTCCATACCAAGGACCACTTAACCAATAAAAAAACACTCGCGGACCACCTAACTCCACAAATATCCAAAAACACATCGTTTTTTACAAATCGCCTGAAAATGGTACAAACAAGTGGCAACATGTGTGATGAAGGTGTTTATCTGGGCTATATCATGCAATCGAAAGTGAAACTTAAGCTTGTTCCATTGTGGAGATATTCCCGCGAGAGTGCGGAAAACTTAAATAAATGTATTTATTTCAAATGTGAAATGTTACCAATATACTCACGGACCACTAGGGGGCACTCACGGACCACCAGTGGTCCGCGGACCACACTTTGAGAAGCACTGAATTCCCAAACCGCCCCCTACACCCTACCCCTCCGTTTGCGCGTTCACGCGAAGGGTCCGCCATATTGAGGGCTGGTCCAAAGCAATCAGGGCGGAGGCGTAGTGGGTTATAAAAGCCTCCGACAGCGAGTTTGCATGGATGCAGGCTTGATAATCTCACTCCACAGGTGTGCAACCGTTTTTCGGGCATGGAGGAAACAACGTCATACAAATGTGAGTTCCATGTGGTTATTTTTTTAAACGATAAATAATACGTTGCCTTAACTAAAACATGCCTTTGTGAACATGTATTTATAAATCTACACGTGTTAATTTGATTTGCCAAGATTACATTAGATTTTTATTTTGAAGATGTACAAATCTAAATCGGAATCAAACTAACAACACGTGTCAATTCATGTATCCATTCACTTACGAAATCGGTTTAAACTTAAGTGTGATTTGTAATTTCAGGGACTGTGGTAAAAACCAAGGCACTTATTGCATTAAGAATGGACAAGGACGACCTGTTCTGCAAAAAACGCAATGCTGCTAAAGAAGCATGGGAGTGAGTTATGCACTCAATTCATATTTTGTGCAATGAAAGTAATGAATGTGCACTGTGGGTCATTGCCTTAACACCAATATATATTGTTTAAATATTCTAAGATAACAGGTCAATCATTAAGGAACTGGACCTTGGGCAACATGTGTCTCACAAACAGGCCTCCAAGAAATGGGAGAACCTAAAAAAGAAATACAAGGTAAATGGTGTATTGTTATTGTAAAACATGTTTGTTTTTGAAAAAGCTGAACAAAGATTTCTAACATGCATTTGTTTGCAATAGGAACTTAAAAGGCCAAGGACTGGAACAGGGACTGATCAGGGGGAAGAAACCCCTGCAACATGGCCCTTCTTCATGGCCATGGATGAGGCCATAGGTGCAAGGCCTTCAATTAGTCCTCCTGTCCTTGTTGCCTCAGCCTTGGCAAACCCCACAATCCTCTTTGATCCGGAGGCTGCTTCCTGCTCCTCTTCCTTCCCCCCCCCCAAATGTGGCTGATGATCCAGACCCCTCACCACCCTCATCACTGTCTGAAGCTGGAACCACCCAGCAGCCCCCCCCCAAAAAAAGAAAAGGTGCTATGGGAGTGCTGGAGTGCCTAGAACGCGAGGCAGAAAAAGAGGACGAACGCCACAGACAAATAATGCAGCACTCAGATAAATTTCTAACCCTGTTTGAAAAAATGGTCGACAATGTGATTTATTTTTTCCCCCCCACCATTGGCCATTTCTATGTTGATTATTGATGTTACTTAAAATACTTGTTTTTGTTCGCTTGTATTATTTATTTGGAAGACAATAAACATAATTTAACGTACTGTCCTTCATGTCTTCAATATTGTATGGGATATAGTAAATACAGGTAGACGGGTGATGAAGGTGACATTGCGTTTGCTTGATTGTTAGATGGCTACATTGTTCTGTGTGGGTTTCATAATGTAGAAGGAAAAGTTTTGCACAAAGTAATGTTGTGCACGGAACTAAAGTGTTTTTTCCAAAGTCTGAAGATTAACCCTGAATATCAGCATTTTAAATAAAGATATGTCTGTGCGCTTCATAGGTATAAGGCATTAAAATATACATGCCATTTACGGTCTTAATTGCTCATGTCAAACCATTTGCAGAGTTTCACTCAAAAACAAAAGTGATTGTATTAGAAGACCTGTGTTCATTTTCTGAACATTTGCTCTGTGCTCGTGATTGAATGATCCAAGAGGTAAGGACATTTGTCTCCAATTTGGGATTATGCAGAAAGACAATTCAGGAAAACCATGTTTGAAATCAACGGTGCACAGGTTTATTTTATTTCACCTCTTTTCTCTAAAGTGAGAAGTGGAGCTCACTAAAACAAACAAAATTAAATCAGGTATGTGTGCACATCATTTCAAAAACATAAGTTAACAGACAACCACGTTTTGCCAAAAAAACAAAGTTCATTCGATGTAATCGTGCTCTCTCAGGTGTGGTGCCATTTGGACAGGAGCAGAGAGTTGTGCAGCAATCCTGTTCCTTAGGTGGTGTCCAGGACTTTCCTGTCCACATGCTGCGGCAGGGGGAGGACTCTGGTCCCCATCTTCAGGGGGGAAGGCTTCAGCATCCTCAAGGACATCGTTCATGTCTATGCACAGATTGTGCAGAAATGCACAACATGCAATTATGTCAGGGGCAAAGCTTGGACTGACCTCCAGCGCTTTGAAAAGGGTGGCCCTCCAGCGAGCCTTCATCCTTCCAAATGCTCTTTCCACCACAGACCGAGCCCTGGAATGATGCCTGTTGAATCTGGCCTGCACCTGGCCGCGAGGGACCTTGTAGGGTGTGAGTAATCCCACTGGTTTTTCCAGGCAGGGATAACCACCGTCCCCAAGGAGGAACCAACCAGCTGGGGGAAACAGTGCCTGGCAGAAGATGGGGCTGTTTCGCAGTACTCTGGCATCATGAACGGAGCCTGGATAGCCGATGAAGACATCCAGGAATCTCCCAGTTGAGTCACAGATGGCCTGCATCTGGATGGAAGGAAACAGCTTGTAATTGATGTACTCCTTGTGGTACTCGTTTCCTGGAGGTTTGATGCGAATATGGCATCCATCAATCGCACCAGCAGCACGGTGAAATACAGGACTCTTTGCAAGCTGACAGAAGCCATCTGCAATCTCTGGCAGCTCATCTGCGGCTGGCAGGGAAATGAGGGTCTTCAGGTTGGCCTTTATCTTCCCGGTGACGTGTTTGATGATCCTGTGGACCGTCGATTTGGGAATCCCGAATGCTGAACCCACCACAGAGAGCGATAGTCCATGGGCCAAGCTGTAGAGGAGAACAAGCACCTCGATGTCTTGTCCCCATCCGTGGTCCTTTGGGGAGGAAAGCATCTGCACTAAATACACCACACAAGATCGCTTAACTCTAAAGTCCTTCTTTAGACAGGCTTCAGGGTTGGCATACACGGCGAGAATTGGGGCAGTAGCATTGAGCTGCATGTAAAGACCTTTGCCCCCCTGTAAAAGACACACACACACACACACACACACACACACACACACACACACACACACACACACACACACACACACACACACACACACACACAGCTCTGTAAACAATTCTGAGACCAAGTCAAATTAACCTTTCCTTTTTTATTCTATAAACTACTGACAACATTTCTCTGTGTTAGAATTCTACAGACACTACAGATATACACGTATAGCTTATAAGGAAATAATAAATGAATGTATATCACAATATATCTAAATATCTATTTGTATTACACATACAAAGTTCATAGGCTACTATATAAGAAATAAGGTGAAGATAATTGTTGTATTAGCAATATTGAAATGTTTACCTGCCACTGGAACATCGCTAAAATGCGCCTCAACCTTCTGCGCCTTCTGTTGGATCTTGCCATTGCACCCGCTAACAGGCGACGGATAGCAACGCAGGTCAATGCAGCCGACAGATGTGGGTTGGACACCATGACATCCGTTTCTGTTTCCTGCGGAGAGAGGGGAAGCCGTCCCAAAGCTTGCCGCTGTATTTATACCCTTAACCCTTAATGGAGGGAACTTCATTCAGCTGTGAGTGTGCCTACAGACGGAGTTCACTCCGTCACGGAGGGGGAGGGCCGAGGGAGTGGTTTGGGATTGGGCCTTAGAGAATTGGAACGGCACTTAACATGGCTGCCACTGACGTACTTCTGGGTCATTTCACTTGGTTAGGAAGGTTCCTAAACTAAATGGACTATTGGAACGCAACCAGAGTCCGATTCTGGTTATTTTGGGGAGGTGGAGATAAATCATATTGTTTGGTGGATGCAGTTTGAACCAGAGTAGCAGCATGGAGGTCGGATCGTCACCAACATAAATAAATAAGTGGTCCGAAAAGGTTAATGACAAAAAAAATACATATAGCCTTCCTCAGGCAGTGTGTTTGTACCAGGGACAGGAGACACCCCCTTGATGAGAAACTGTAAGAAATGATCGGGGAATCCCTCCGGAGTGGAGTCATGACGACTGGATCTGAATTATTTGTTTGTATTTGGTGGTTTGTCTTCCAGCTGTCAATCAGCAACTATATATCATAATCCACCAGTTAAAGGAAATACAACTAATGTGTTGTGTTATATTAGCTGTACAATTTACTATTCTTTCACACACACATACGGGTTTTGGGCCGAGGGCGACACCGTACTTCCGGTATCAACCATTTCACACGAGGTGCATACAGAATATCATAGTCTATTTCCTTAATCAATATAGTCAACTCTAAAATACCACATATATGCATTGGCATGATAATATTATTGTGACAAGTGGGGTATTCGCCTGGTGTTTCCAGAAGATAGACGTAGATGCTGCCAAAATCGACCGAAGGCCACTTTTGAGGGTCGTAATTCCATACATTGTACATCCAACAACCCACACAGCTCTAGTTTACGCTGGTAACGACCTAGAGCACACCCCTCAAGTCCAGAGATGTAATCCGAAGACATGCAGCGATTTCTTCGGTCGTTAATTCAGAAAAAAAATCTAGTGCGCTCTGCCTGGCTACATTAGCTAGCTGTTTATATTAGCACCTCCAGGATTTTTGCATTTTTTTAAGGCGTCTAGTGGCTTGGTGGAAAAACAAGGAAGGAAGCCACGACATTGTTAAAAACTCTCGTGACGGACAAATCCGTGTGGAATTAAATGGTTGCCACCATATTATTATAATGAATGAAATACTCTTGGAAATGAATGGATACGAGTGGATGTGAATCATGAGTTTACAAATCACGGACTTCATAGTGAACAAGGAAGGACCGCATTGACTTTCTGGATTGTGACAACGTGGATTTCTGTGGAAAAAGGCTTGTGCCGCATGTTGTGGATGTTGCAATTCTTTCACACACACATACGGGTTTTGGGCCGAGGGCGACACTGTACTTCCGGTATCCGCCATTTCACACGAGGTGCAAGCAGAATATCATAGTCTATTGCCTTAATCAATATAGTCAACTCTAAAATACCACATATATGCATTGGCATGATGATATTATTGTGACAAGTGGGGTATTCACCTGGTGTTTCCAGAAGATAGACGTAGATGCTGCCAAAATCGACCGAAGGCCACTTTCGAGAGTCGTTTTTCCATACATCTACAGGCAGTCTGTAAGGGCAATCCGACAACCCACACAGCTCTAGTTTATGCTGGTAACGACCTAGAGCACACCCCTCAAGTCCAGAGATGTAATCCGAAGACATGCAGCGATTTTTTCGGTCGTTAATTCAGAAAAAAAACCTAGTGCGCTCTGCCTGGCTACATTAGCTAGCTGTTTATATTAGCACCTCCAGGATTTTTGCACCTCCAGAAAAATGGCGTCTTTATAAAAAAATATATGGCGCGCGTTGCATTGTGGGTAGCTGTGACGTCACTGTGTGGGAAAGAATGGTGTTCTTAGTTTCCATACCTCCTGTGTTTTACGAGCGACTTATCAAGTAGGCTATTGGCGAACGGCATAACACATGATTAAACATGATAGTATATAAAACCATGCTCGTATCTATACAACCTATAGAAATGCAAAACGGCGTCAGTTTAAAGTAATTCTGTCCTTCATGTTTACCACATCATTTATGAGAATACATTTCTTAACAAGAGAACATAATCGAGGTGTGATCAATAACATTTCCGTATTTATTTATTTCTCCAAGTTATGTTTTTGTGTGCATCGAGGAGTCTAAACAGGCGTTTGTTAAATCATTTTAAGATTGGCTTTAATCAATTTTTGAAAATCAATTCTTCATATATGATAAATGAGAGGTAACATTTTATTTATGGTATTATTTCCACATATTTCTCTCCATTCTTCCTTCTGCCAACGGTGTCGCAGTTTCTCGTCTCTCCCGTGTTGTGCTTAGTGCGATGGTTAGCAGTGGTAGGAGAGTGGAGTTATCTTTGTATTTAGGCTGCAAGTCAACAAGAATAGATTACAAATCGCTTAAAAATTGGTTCAGACAAGAGGCACCATGTGTTACGCAGGTGTGGCGCTGATATATAATGCGGTTGAACTTTAAAGTTAAATTATTTCCGGTGCAGAGACAAACACTCGAGGTGGATGTATAAAGTACATACTGGTGTTAATAAAATATAGCGTATATCGACAATAAGAATGACAATACATACTTCCGGGTGTAAAGTATACATATAGATCCTACACATCCACTGGAGGTAGATTCTGAAAGTAAAATATACACTTCTCACTAGAAACATAATCATAAAGCATTATTATGGCCAAACTATCCTACAATTTAGGATTTTCCACCGAAAAAAGTGTTGGATTCAAGATTCAAAGGTTTTATCATCATATGCTGAGCAGCTACAGTGTAGAAATATCAATGCAATTCTTCTGACCTGAGCTCCTCCAACAATGCAACATATATAATAAAATACAAAAATACAAAATAAAAAGTAGTGCAAAAAGTGTATACATGTAATATATTAGAAAATGATATTTACAATAACAGAATATGAAATTAAATAATGTAAATTAAGAAAAAAATTAAATACGGTGTATTCCGTGGATAATAGACCCAATCACAGTGAATGTTCAAAACTACATTTGATACTTTTTATTTTTCATATCACAGTGCACATGTTTAAGTAATCATAACACAAAGCTAAAAGTTAATCTGTTTTTCCTTTCTCTTTTCAAGAGTGCTTCAGAGGATGGCTGAATTCACAAAACGTGGAGAACACCGAGAGAGAGAAGTTGGCCGGTTACTACATTTCACAAAAATACAGGACCTTGTGAAAGTGTAAAGAAACAGTTGAAGGAAATTGCTTAAAAATATGAAGTAATGGGTGTTTTGAAAATGTTTTCAAATGTGTGTTAATGTTCATTGTGTGTTATAAATTATGTTCCTGCTTCTAATCATTTGATGTATGAGTATTTATTTTCAGACAATACATTCTATACACTCTGGTACCTTTCTGGTAAGGTAGGTGCTCTGATCTGAAATGATAGATGTTCATTGAGCTACTGGCAATTGGGTGAGAGTGTCATCACCCAATTATCATATATGTTAGACAGCTATATTCCATACATTTTTGCACACATTCACAGTAAATATTTATTCAGTAAGATTGCTGTCTAACAGAAGTTAAATCCATTTCTCACTTATTCTGACAATGTACTTAACCCCAAATAAAAGAACCCCATAAAAAGAGTTGTTAAATAATAGTGAAGTCACGTTGTAATAACAATAACTCATCTCTCTCGAGTTTTCTTTTTGTGCTTTGCCAAAAGCCACTGTGTCAAGTGTCCTACTTGGGTTGCCGTACGGAGTTGTCCAATATGGCGGATCATCTCGCACATGCGCACTGCAGATAGGGCAGGGCGGCAGATCGGGTAGTGACAGTGGATGTTTCTCAATCTCGAGTAAACCTGCTCCAGAGCCACTATTTCAAGCATACTACGTCATCGAGTGCCGCCGAAGTACTGTTCCAATGTCTAGTATACTTGGAATTCTACCGAGCCCTGCGTACTTAGTTTGGAGAAATGTCCAGGCTGCACATGTGTGGACTCCGCGGTCTAACAATCCCCACAATGCTTTGCGCATGGACCAATTTCCCCAAATCTGTGGTGGAAAATGTAAGGCGGGGCCTCTCATATGACGCACACTTGCTAGCCTGTTCCACTCTTTGTTTTCCGAATGCCAGCAAGTATTCTTGCCTCGCTTCTGAAGCAAGACGCTCGGAAGACGTGTGCTACCAAGCAAGCGTACTCGAGATTGAGAAACACCCAGTGACAACCATGTCCATTGGGGGAGGTTACTTCCTGGTTCAGCAAAGGGTGTGGCCGAGCGCTGAGGACTCATAAATACTGCAAGGAGCCAATTGGGACAGATTGGGATAAACCACCTGCTTCCATGTCAAAGGGGGGATTTGGGTTTTGTCAGTGTCCTTTGTGTATTCTGTTACTATTAATTATCCCTTGGTTTCAACTTGGTTTGGCCAAGGCACTATCTGGTTTCCTTGGTTTTTCATTGGAGCAGGTCAGTTTGTTGTGTTAAGTTGATGCCATGTTTCTTTGAGGTATTTTCTGTTGACCTCTTTTATGGGCCTAGTTATTAGAAATTATTGATTTATGATGTTTTCTTTGGACTTTTGGGTAAATAAAAAACCCAGTTTATGTAAACCACTCCTGTGTCCTGTCGCCTTACTGCTTGGTCCCTGACATACTCTCTGTATGTAGTGAAGTAGAAAGTTGCATGAAAACCAGAGGCGGGAGAAGTATTCAGATCTTGTACTTAAAGGTGGGGTATGTAATTTATTTCAGAAACGCTTTTTGTTATATTTCATGGAATGCTCTTAACATCCCGATAGCAATGAATATCTGAAGTGCTTTGACAAAAAATCCATTAAAAAACGTCATCTGTGGAAGCCGTAATACTGTAAAAAGCACGACCAATCATCTGAGCCGGCACGGCTAAAATAACTGGATAGCCTACCTGCCTGTCAGCCTTCCATCTGTGCACAAACTTATCTCGTGCCCTCATTGGTCATGAGCGCGTTCGTGTGTGTTGGAGGAGGGGCTCTGTAAGGAAGTGGCAGATTTTTTCCGGTTGTGTATTTTCAAATTCTAGCGCACTCGAGCTGGTTTCTCCAAAATTACCTACCCCACCTTTAAGTAAAAGTAGAAGTACCAGAGTGTAGGAATACAAGTAAAAGTCCTGCATTCAAAATGTTACTCAAGTAAAAGTACAACAGTATTACCATCAAAATATACTAAAAGTACCAAAAGTAGTCATTGTGCAGATTTACTCCACGTGGAACTAAAGTCTGATTTAAGAGTTGATTATATTTCACTTCATCCAGATCTGTAAAGTAACTAAAGGTATTAAATAAATGTAGTGGAGTAAAAGTACACAATTTAGCTCTAAATTGTAGTGGGGTTGAAGTTAAAGTAGCATTCAATGGAAATACTCAAGTAAAGTACAAGTCTGTCAAAATTGTACTTAAGAACAGTGCTTGAGTAAATATACTTAGTTACTTCTCAGTACAACATGTATACAATCCTTTCAATTCACAGCTGGATTTTAGGTTTTATAACAAACATTACTTCCTACTAGTGAGTAGAAGTATTTCAGACATGTGTTGATTATTATGATCATTTGTGAATCCACTGTCCTCACCTACTTGAAAAACATCAGATACGTTATGTACTGTAATCTAAGTGATTAATGTGGTGATACTTATGTAAAGAAATAAACTCCAATTCAAGTCCAGTGCCATTTGTTTATTAATTTCCCTCCATTTTCTTAAATCAGATGAAAGAATACTAAGATGACAATACAGTGAGCTTGTGAACAGATCGTCCCACAGCCAGCAGACACTCGCTGACCTTTTTATTTACATAGGAGCAGACAGATCTCATATTTGTATTGGGGGGACAATCATTCAAAGAGTCAAAGAAGCAGATCTCTGGAGCCAGGACAAATCCAGCGTCAGAGTATGGATGGTGGGACAGGAAGGGGACATGTAAGACGGAGGGGGTCTGGATAGCAGAAGCATGACTCGGGCTGATGGAGGTGAGGAGTCGGGGGGCCATTAGGGGTTTGCCAGTTCATCTGATGTCACAGAGGAAGGCAGGCTGTCCAAGGCTCCCATCTCTGCAACACACACCAACACAAGTACATTATACAGACATAAGAGGGTCAGCCAATCACAATGCTCATCATGTACTCACAAACCAGCCATAGCTACCAAATATATATCTGACCATGGTGCATTCACTTAAACACTTTAGTGTCCTTTTGACAGTCAGTGTTACTGCTCTGATTTTTAAATGACTATCTCGTTTGCACTTGTGACGTTTGTAGTTTGTTCATAGCCTAAGGTTAGCTTTTAACTTCTAGCCATTGCATTTACCTTTACAAAATCTAACAAATAATATTAATATGTTAATATGTGCAGAATATCCTATTGATCAAAACGTTTAAGTATCATAAATGTTTGTTTGACACAGAGATTATATTCCGCAGTATTCCAAAATCCAATGGAAAGGTCCCATTGCCTTTTTGTCAAGGTCAATGGTAGTGGAGGAAGTCTGTGTGGTAAAGTTAATAATGAAGAAATGTTCCATTCCACATTCTGTAGCATAACCCTCACTTTGAGGAATGTTGAAGCAGAAAGCATGAGCATACCTTTAAGTTTAAGGTACGACAGGAAGTCGATGACAGTGCGGATGATGTCTCCATCTGCTATTCTCTGGGCACCTGTGGAGGCAGAGCAACAAAGGGCAGTTTGACAGGAGCTGTGCTTACAATAACATATGGGAAATGAATATCTTTAGATACCAAGATATCTGCATCAAAGAAGAAGCTTTTATTATCCAACATGGCAGAGAGTCACAGAGAAACCTGAACCAAAAAATGATATAAAGTAAATCAGCGCACCTAAGGTTTAAAACACAAATGTAGTTTGTCTTTACACAAAGAGAGGAAGGTTTCTGTTTCACAGGGCACACACACACATCTACAGACCAACAAAGATAGAAACACACACACACCTGTTCTGTAGTCCTCCTCCATGTCCCTCTTCCCAGCGAGCCCCGCCTTGTCTACGAGCGTCCTGTGTCCATCGATCCCGTCTGAACAGGGAGGATCACAGTCATACAGCACCACATGTCAGAGGTGTGAACTGCAGTTCGACTTGATTAAAGTATTACAGCTACTTGGATACATTTCCTAAATGTCCCACACTTTCAGAAGCATCACATATTAGAGACAAATACATAGAGTACACACATGACACCACTCTGCCTAGGTTTCACAAGAAGATCTAAAGGACATTGTTGTACACTTGGTTATTTCAGCATGTTATTTGGTTTGTATTTGTTTGGTTACATTTCCAAACGTGTACGGACCACCTGCAGGGCTTGGCTCATGGAATTGCAGTAAAACAGAAAAGTACAAAGCATAGAATGGACTACAGTTTTAACACACAAGGAAACGCATTTGGATAATAAAACGTAAAATATATATATATATTGGACAAGCAAAGACATGGTACAGGAAGGACTCTCGACACTTTAGTACACAGCACTAGAAGGTCTCATAGAGAAGATATATGCCTAACCAGACGTTCATTTTCCCAAGCAACCACTTAGTCCTCACCCTTTAAGCCTGTTATATCTTAACACTGATTACCACACATTTTACTTGGCTATGTTTAGCCTAGCTTAGCGCTAGCCTTGCCCTGTGAAAACGAAAACATGAAGAAATTACCATTACCACGATGTTTCACCTCAGATAGCAGCACCATAATAGAGTGGTGCAGATGTGAGTCATAAAACTGAGAATTGAGTCAGCATTTAACCACTTTCGGTTCCCTCGTTTCAAAATTCAATGGTTTTCGTTATAAGCCTGAAATAAGGTCTGTGAGTAACACAAGCTGTGTTTGTTCAATGGGAAAATATGTCAGAAAGTACCCCACGGATGACTGTCTGAAGCTATATGAGTCATAAAACAGCGGTTGCTAACAAGTGACTCAATTAAACAACTAAACGTAGCAGCCGTTAGCTTAGCGGTGTTCAGAATCCAATAGAGGTTTGCTTCTGCCGATTGCATTTAATCTTCAAAAACCATGAAAGTGGTGTTAATATGTGGAGATGAATCAGCTGAATGAAAAGTATCAGTGTCATAAATATGTGTTTGCCACATATATAATTATAATCAAGGCACACAGCTTTTACTAGCCCAAGTGTTTGCCTCTCAGCATATTATAATTATCTATGGGCTTAACACCCAATTTTGTATGAAAAATATGAGGCTGCAACTTGGACTCGGTTGCACAAGTTCCAGCAAAATGCTCCTGTTAATATATTAAAAGTAAAACCCAATGTTAAATGTTTGTTTTTTTGCTTTTTCAGAAAAATAGATGCTTAACTCTGTGACCTATTTCAAAACGTAGCCGAGGTTCAAGCTTGGGCTCACACAGTGTTTGCTGATGATGAATTCATTCACTGAACCGCAGAACCTTATCTGTGTTCTTACACTGCAGCATTACTCACCAGTCATTTAAAGTATGTGTATTTATCACATTTGACTTGATGTTACGAGTGGTCATGATGTGTGTTTGAAGAGAGCCATTAGGTGGCTTCCTCATTAGGTAAAGTAGTGCTTGAGCTGCTCCCCCTGTACTGTCTGCGTTTGTTGAACTTTAAGTCCAATTAAAATACATGACATTGAAGTGATCACAAGGGGAAAATGATTAAAACAATTTTTTAATAGTTTTGTGTTTCAAGTATAAACTACTTTTCTCCTGCTTTTCTGGACCCTCCTGATTTGGTTTTTACTTTCACACAGACTCCTGCTTCAGGAAGGGTGGGGACGAGTTTTCGAGGAGCTGTTTTTTCAGAAGGAATGGCTCTTGAATTATACTGCAGTGCCTTTTGAGACCTGACAACAGTTTGATTGAAACATGAGGACATGATTGAGGAAATCTGAATCCTCACATTTCTGACATTGAATTGCATTAATACTATATATCTTGCACATGATGTTAAACGCAGTGTAGTCCCACCTAACGCCTTCGCTAACATTCACTCTAAGGACATCAACATGGATGTGTTTGCTTACAGAGCGGAGAGAAATGCAATGTTTGGATGCATAAGCACAAAAAGCAGTGGGATGAAAGGCGCCCCCCCCCTCCCAGACGTGGGACAGAAGCAGCTAAGAGATGCGGGATGTTTGCACAGAGCAATTCATAGCCTGACACCAAGGCCCTGCAGCGGCCGTACGTTTCTATCTTACATTGAGCGACCAGCTCCTCTCTGCCTCTGGCACTGGGAGAATCCTTTATCTGAATTAGGTGATCAATACGACCTGAAACACAGGATGAGGCACAAGCAACCTTTACCTGGGCTTCACACACACACACACACACACACACACACACACACACACACACACACACACACACACACACACACACACACACACACTCATCTGGATACCCAGTGTTGACGGTAATGAGGCTGTCTTTAAATGATACGTAATGAGCTGACAGTGGAGACAGTGGACAAAGAAACAGAACAGCAGCTATTCACACAGGATGAGCTTGACCTTTCCTGTTGTAAGTTGTGTTACAAAAGCAACATTTTTTAACAATACAGGTGAGAAAAGCACAGAAATCATTTTAAAGAGATTAGATTATTATTATTATTATTATGTTCTCTGTTTACTTAACGCCGTTATATAAAGAAACGTTTTACTCAGGGTTTGAATCAAAACGTTAGTCCGTGCCAACATTTGGTTAAATATCAACTAGTTAGTTAGCTAATGTTCGGGGAGCAGGGCCACGCCTCAACAATACCTCTGATTACCTGCTAACACATCCTGCCTCTGTGGTCTCTAAATCCACGACCCACCCCCCTTTCCTTTCCATTCATCCACTCCCCTTCCTATCTCCTTTTTAACCACATTAGTAAACCACATCTCTCATCCCTTTGACCATGTATCCTTCCCTAACCCAATTATCCCTTCCTCCATTCATGTGTCCGTTCCCATTCATCCCTTCCTCCCTACATCGCTTCGACCATTCATCCCTTCTTCCCAACAACTCTTTGACATGTTATGCCTCCTTCACTTCATCCATCGTTCCTTACAACCCTTCATCCCTCCATTCCTTTATCCATTCATCCCTCCATTCCCATATTACTTAGACTCCCATCTCGCCCCTTCTACTTTGACCTTTCACCCCTCCCACCTTACATCCCTTTATCAATGAATCCCTCTCATCATTCATCGGATTTTCCCTACATCCTTTTCATCCATTCATCCCTCCTTCCCTACATTCCTTCATCCTCTCTTCCTGTCTCCCCTAATCTATTCTTCTTTCATCTGGTGCATACTTTTTGTCCCATTCTAGTTACTGTCTGGGGTCTGGTATTCAGATCTGGCAGAAACACGCCTGAGACTGAACCCCCACCCTGAGTCTCTCTCTGTTGGACTTCAGTCTGTCCTCCAGACCAGCCTGACAGACAACATCCCTCATCCTTCTTCATCCGTTACATTCAATATCTCCTTAAATTGAATCTGTAACCGACACAGTGTTGAGGCGCGGTCCTTGCTCTTGAAATGTAGCTTTAAACTAATTTGATCGCAACTCTGCTAAAGGCAATATACAAATGTAAATATTGCCAATGCATCTCTTTTATAATGAAGAAGAAGAAGATTCAACTTCTTGTCATTACGTAGTACAGGTACTATGTAACGAAACGGTTTCTCTGCATTTGACCCATCCTAGTGTTAGGAGCAGTGGGCTGCCATTATGTACAGCACCCGGGGAGCCGTGTAGGGAACGGTGCCTTGCTCAGGGACACCTCGGTAGCACTTGGTCTTGCCGGGACTTGAACTGGTGACCTTCCAGTTGCCAAGCCAAGTCCCTATGGACTTCGCCACCACCGCCCACCTAATGCTGCGTGTTTCAGTTGGCTTACAGCTCCTAAAGCCTAATACATTTGCTTCTGGCTGTTCTTTTCTCTCACTTCTCATTTGTGGTATGTATTATCATTCAACCCCTGTACATGACTTTGTTAAATTCTTGCTTTGAGACCTGAAATATAAATAATACTTGGTAATATATTCTGGAACTTATTTATCATACATTGTGTCGTTGTTATCTGAGGGCTTTGACCAATACCGATGTCCTTGTACTCTTGGGAGGGCTGTTTTTTAATAAGCTATTATTTTTGCCCTCCTGCTTCAAGTAACTTGGTTTCTTGTGTGTAGGATTGTATTTTAATTAATGTGATCCTTTGTTTTTGAATAAATGTAAAAGACTCAACAAGACAAACCAGATGCCGTGTGAGCGCAGGCAGAATGATGCACAGATAGAAGGAGCATGGAGTAAGAGATGGGGGGTGACAACATTTGAAATGTTCACAGATAATTTAGTACTAAGCCAGGACAGCAGCATTAATCATAATGTATGGATGATGTATTGAGGTCCAGGTGTTTTGCTTGTATAGCAAATGACACCTTGTCAATGATACTAATTAAGTTGTGCAGCACAAACTAAATGGATAGAAAAGATATTAGAATTCAAAGGAAAGGTAAACATAATTGGACCTAATATTAACTATTACTAAAATGTGATAATAATTTAGCAAAGAAGGTAGCATATTGTTAATTGGCAAACTGTGCAATAGGTTTTCAAAGTTCATGGCAGAGAAATTATTTGGACATGTTGGAGGCTCAACGGGTTGTTGTGTGTGTGTGTGTGTGTGTGTGTGTGTGTGTGTGTGTGTGTGTGTGTGTGTGTGTGTGTGTGTGTGTGTGTGTGTGTGTGTGTGTGTGTGTGTGTGTGTGTGTGTGTGTGTGTGTGTGTGTGTGTGTGTGTGTGTGTGTGTGTGGGTGTGGGTGTGTGTGTGTTTGTGTGTGTGTGTGTGTGTGTGCGTGTCTGCAGTTAGTACTTACGGGGACCTAACAGGTAGCCAGCACTGTTCAGTGTCCAGCCACGCTTCTCCTTCGCCTGCAGGGTCCACAGACATGATCAGAGTCATCAAAATATCAAAAATGTTCACAAGTAACAAAAGGTATTATGATTACAAAAACTCCTCTTCTACCTCTTTCTTTGTAGCCTGCCAATGGTCAGTGGTGTACCAACACACAGTACACAGGTGTATGATGTTCTGACATGTACAGTGTAGTGTGTAACTGTCTCTCTCTTTGTCCTTAGTGACCTACACATCTACCTACTGAAGTAACCCCTACCAAACATATATTTAAATGATACTGGTATTAGTATTAAAGAGGATATGTACCAAAAGATGATTTTCTATTAAGTCTGTAAAAGATGGTTAGTCTGCTGGGACTTCTCTGAAGCACAAGAATACAGATATTTTCACATATTTTGCATTATTATTGCTCTTAATGTAATTTGGATATTGCACTAGTCCATAATGCGACTTTGATACAAATACTTGTGCAACCCGAATTATTATATCAATTCACCTCTCATACACTGCTGACATAGACATTGATATTAAATCTGCTTTTAACGTCCGAATATTGTGTGGATATCAAGCATATTTTACTTCTGTGGACAACAGTCCCACACCTACCAGCACACACAGTTAATGTATACATGAGCTAATGTTTTTTTTAAACAAAGATCTTAACACTATTGACAGAAATACATAAAGCAGTGCAACTCTATCACAGTAGGAAGAAAATTCAGATTACTAACAGCAGTGTCAGCAGACACATCTGCACGGTGTTTTAATACCTCTAAAGCTAACGGTATTTATATGCTATCATTACCTGTTGTCAAATTGGTCATTTAACATTGCAAATGTTATTATTAACATTATACTAATTCCTATTCATATTTGTATTCTACATTTTAATATGCTTTTTACTTTAACTTCTTTATTTTATTTTATATTTTCATTGCACATTTGTACTTAAACTATTTTTGGTTATACAAACATCTTTATTACATGTTATGTTTTCATTGATCAATCTCATTCCTATATCTTTTATTAATTATATTTTAATGCACATCCTAACTTTAGTTCTTTATATCTTTATTTAATTAAATGTTTTAATTGCATATTCTCACGTTGACGTCTTGTTAATTTTTGTATCCCTTTTTTGTTGTATTTATTTCCTTCTAAAATGAATCAACTGCGCAAAATTCGGGATACATCAAGTATTCAGACTCTGAATCATATTATTTAACATGCTAAATATGGGTGTTTTGACATTGTAATTGCATATTTTATTTGGTTATCTCTGAATATGTTTGGCACATGCACTAAAATGAAATGTCTTACCGCGAGGACCAGACCGATGGTCTCAGACAGAGCTGCGCAGAAGATGAGCGACACGCAGAAAATCCCAAAGCTTCTCTGCATCTGAAGAGACAAAACAACATCAACAATAACAGAAAAGTATTAGAGACAGTTTCTACTGAATCTAAACATCATCCGTAAACTTTCTCCATCATTTGGAGGAAAAAAGTCAACTTTCCCGGAGAATAAGAAGAGGAAGCACAGCAGTGACTCACCTTTAAACCGACCTGTGGACTGTGGGCTGCAGCAGGAGAAGTTTAACTCTCAGTGGTTCGCAGGATCTGAGGACTCCCTCCACCTTTTATGTCCTCCACCCGGACCCCACCGCTGGGATCTGGCGTCAACAACCCCCCCCCTCTCGTTCGCAGGATGGCAGGTCACGAGCGCAACGCATAATGAAATTCAATAATATCATATAATGCCTGCCATCAACACATTTTTCTATGTCGCTCTTGGAGACATGGGATTACATTTAAAAAGGGAAAAAATACGTCTGTTCTAATTTTCTGTCCTTACCTGATGTGTGACTTAAACAAGCAGATTCATACGCCAATAAGGCATGTTCTTGTCAGTATCAGACACCCGATTTATTTTAAGTGGAAAATCCTAAATTGTAGGATAGTTATTATAATGCTTTTTGATTACACTTCTAGCGAGAAGTTTACATTTTACTTTTAGAATCTACGTCCAGTGGATGTATACAGTAGGATCAGTGGCGACTGGTCATTAGGGACACAGCCTAGTGTCAGCAGAAAGTATTAAAAATAATGATTACAACAAAATGCAAAACAAATATATAAAATATATCTTAAGATCATGTTTAATCATCTGATTCGTCTGTACATTGCTGTTTTAGTCTGTGTTCTTCTAATTAGTGTCTACAGTGTGCCTATTGAGCTGTTTAGAGCCATGTGGGACAAAACCATGCCCCTCCCTCTCACTAGAGGTTTCTCATTACTCAAATTTCCCCTCCTCGACTCCTCGGTCCTCCGGTAGTGACCCGGAAATGAATTTCAGCGCGTCATTTTGAAGGACATCTCATTTCTCTAAATGCACTTCGAGGACCGAGCATCGAGCATCGAGGAGGCTCTCTGGAGGAGCTCTAACCGAGGAGACACTGATGCGTCCTCCACGGCTCCTCCGCGGATGCATTTCCGGGAACGGTGGGAGCTATCTCAGCCAATGACAGCTCTGCATGCATCCCCTGGATATTATTTTAGTAACTGCTTTCATCGCAATGCGATGTTTACAGTGAGAACAGCTGTGAGGTCCATGCAGAAAGCAGAGCAGTGTGTATAATATATATCACTCAGTATAACAGGCCTACTCTCTTTATTTGCTTTAGTTTAGTAGGCCTAGATATCTAAACAAAGAGTCGATATTTTTCTAAGACCATTTAGTGCTTCACATAATAAAATACACAACGGCTGTAGCCTGATTATATGCTTTAGGAGCTGTAGGTGTGTGTGGTACAGTGTGTAGGTGTAGGTGTGGTACAGTGTGTAGGTGTAGGTGTGGTACAGTGTGTAGGTGTGTGTGTGGTACAGTGTGTAGGTATGTGTGTGGTACAGTGTGTAGGTGTGTGTGTGGTACAGTGCGTAGATGCGGCGGACAGACGGGTCTCAGTTGGTTTGGTGTCCTATGCTTACTTTTAATACTTGTAGGCTACAACTTTTTACCCTTAATTTCAATTCCCCATTTCAGCGACCACAGAGGGGGGGGGGGGGGGGGGGGGATATATCCAGTCTCTCATTGTGTTACGTTATTATGAGAGTGCTCTCATACTTGTTTGATTCTGAAATTGTATATTTATATAAATATATGTGTGTGTATATGTCCGCATCTGTAGCCTGTTATTGTCGCATTATACCGCACTGTCAATGAATTAAAAGTAAATATATAAGTCGTCATGAACACATCTGTCCATCAGACAGAGGGCTGCTGTGCCTCCTGTCATCATTAATGGACGTCTCTTTATCAATCAATCAATCAATCAATGTTTATTTATATAGCCCAATATCACAAATGTTACATTTGTCTCAGTGGACTTTACAGTTTGTACAAAATATCAGTATGACAATATGACACCCTCTGTCCTTAGACCCTCACATCGTACAAGGAAAAACTTCCGAAGAAAACCCACAGTTTAAAGGGAAAAATGGAAGAAACCTCAGGGAGAGCAACAGAGGAGGGATCCCTCTCCCAGGACGGACAGACGTGCAATAGATGCCGTGTGTAAATTGAAAAGATAATACATTTGCAACATTTAAAATGACCTCCCAGAGGAGAGGAGTTCTCATTTCTCTAACCACCTGCTGCTTCCCCTCCTCTCTCCTCGGTTCCCCTCCTCAGTCCTCCGCTCGCATCTCCTGTGGGCGGCACCAAGTCTCGAGGATAGGAGTCGAGGATAGGAGTCGAGGAGGGGAAATTTGAGTATTGAGAAACCTCTACTGTCTACTCCAAAAATCAGCTCCTAAATTCTAACCCTATCTCCTATTCCTTGACCTCTGAGTGAAACGTCACGGGTTAAGGCAGGGGTCCCCAAACTTTTTCCTGTGAGGGCCACGTAACTTTTCCCTTCTCTGATGGGGGCCGGGTCAGTTTGTAACAGAAAAAGTGTGACGATGGCATGGGTGTCTAAACGTAAACATTTATTGTTTTCTAGAAAGCCACACATAACCAAATATTAATAACCCTTTCCGGGATCTTCACAGAAAAAAAGTCAGGAAATAAATAATAACACTATTAATGAAATAAATAACACTATTATGAAATAAATAATAACCAAATAACCCTCTCTGGGTTCTTCACAGAAAAAAAAGTCCATTGAAAATTACTGTAACTTTCTGTTGTGCCGTGCACAATCTTAACAGGTAAAAGTTTAGCTTAGTTGTCAGAGCAGAATCTCTCAAAATAAACGTGGATTTACGTAAAAAAAAACAATTTTTTCGGGGTTCGGGTGTTTTGTTTGATTTTAAACAAACAAAGTCTTGGCTTTCAGAATATGAAACTTTATTTCCAATTTATTTATTTCTCACTCGCAATCTGCTCTTCCGCAGCGCCGCCCCCCCCTCACTCCGCTGAAATTATGAATGTAAGAGTATAGTAATCATAGATAACACTGCAGGGTCCGTTACAGTTTGTTTTCATCTGATTTCAATTAAACAAAGTCTTGGCTTTCAGAATATTAAACTTGTTTCGGCAAATTCAGATGATAAATACAACTTTGAAGCTTCGGCATAATTACAAGCGGAGAACGGCAGGCATAACAACAGCCGGTGTTTCTCGTGAGTGTTTTCCCCGGGAAACAAACACAATACACACAAACGCAAAATTACACAAGCACACACACTCGCGAGCTTCCCCTCCAAACGAAAATATCTTCCCTCGGTAGTATTTTGATCATTTGCTCCGCTAATAATCAATCAGATCGATGGATTCCAGAGAAGAGACAACTTTGAAGGCCTTTTTCTCAAAATGATGACTCGGTGACAGTCATTATATAATGTGACATATTTCGCTTAATATTTGAAGTACAAAAACAATCCTGATATCATTAGAAAGCTAGGAATATCCTCTTTCCAACAGTGTATACAACTCAAAAGGTGTCTTCGGGTCAATGCGACTGATTTCGATAGAGCAGGTCACAACATTTTGACAGGGGCTAGTCTAGGATTCGCGTGGCCAGACTAAAAATAAAAAATAAAATAAATAATAATAATTAAAAAAAAAAAAAATCATAATGCGTCTCTGGTATTGTTCAGGGGGCCGGGCCAAATGTGGAGGCGGGTCGTACCCGGCCAGCGGGCCTTAGTTTGGGGACCACTGGGTTAAGGGATAGTGGATAGGAGAATTCAAAAGGACTTAGGAGAAGAGACTGCGGTACTTTAGAGAATCCGAATGCACTTTCACTATCCGACGTGTTTATGATGCGCCAGCAGACGTCATGAATGTGCGTCTGCTGCTGTGGGGAAACTATGGAAACTACAGTTTTCTATACAGAGGACTACAACATGGATGTTTAATAAGAACGAGGGACTACTGTAAACTCATCTAGAGACTCTGCACCGTGCTCTGATGCTGTTGTTTTATGCTTTATGAACGTGGACAACAGAGAAACATATTCTTCATGACCAAAGTTGGAATTGAAATAAAAAATGAAAGTGAAACTTATGCTCGTCACCCTCTCCCTCCGGTCCACATTAATACAAATGATCCCAATACATGATTGTATGAACTATGAAAATATCTTAAAATCAATACAAATGTATTTATTATAAACGTTAGTCCTTAACATCTATCACTGTGTATATCCAACCCAGTCTCACGGCATTTCGTGTTCACCAACACGATTTTTAATCTATTGATTCGTGTTCACCAACACGATTTGCCCCTTTTTTTCGTGTTGCACAGCACGATTTTAAAAGCAATGTATTTCTACTGCCTGCAGCACGTCATTAGGCTTGTTTGAGACAAGCGAGACCTGCGCAGACCTGCGCAGTTGCGATCAACGTCTTGCTACTGCGTTGCATGATGGTTAGTCATTTTGTCCGACTTGCTCTGGAGGCTCGCCTACATGAGACGTTGAAATCTCGCGGGACAAAGACGCCCGCAGCCGAGCGAGGCGCGGCGAGGCAGCGCAGTTCCTCTCCACGGGCTGCGGAAGCTAAATGCTTGATGGGAAACGACTCGCTGGTATCTCGAGCTGAGCGCTCATTGGTGGTTTTTACCACGTGCTGCTGATGAAACTCTCCAATTGGCTCGGCAAAAGTTTGTTGTTGTTTTGTGTCAGTTTTACGTCGCCACATCCATTCACATTTTTCATCATTGTTCCACATTGTTCCAATGTTTATCATCATGAAATTAATATCTATATATGTTATACTATACTTGCACTGCTTACCGTTTTCATACTTTATATATCTTAGCATATTCATACACACTGTTCATACTGCTCACAGGCTGATATCTAGTGTATTCATACCCCTCACTGTTTATTCATCATTCAATTCATTCTATATTTTATTCTGTCTATTGTGTACATTACTTTTCACTTACTGCTTGTTGCACCTGGTTAGAAGCTAAACTGCATTTCGTTGTCTCAGTACCTGTAATATGTGCAATAACAATAAAGTTGAATCTAATCTTGAGCAGGAACAAATGTATTTACTTATCTGACATTAACGATTAAACACATGTGTGCATTCTTTATAAATGCAAACCGAGTCAAGCCGACTCCGGAGGTGGCGGTATATGCCCCTTAAAGTTGTTTGCAATCCGCCAAATAACCGAGAGAAGAAGAAGAAGAAGACGAAGCCGACTCCG